AAAAAAAAAAAAAAAAAAAAAAAAAAAAGAGAGAGAGAGAGAGGGCCTGAGAGCGAGTGTGGAGCACAGGGGCTCCAGAGCCCAAGCGCAGTGCAGTCACTTCACTCCAGAGGCAGCTGAAGGAGAAAGAAGGGGAATGCCAGAAAAGTAGAATGGGACTAATGGACCTGAAGAAAACACGCCGAATGGGTTCATCTCGGTAAATCAGAGTCCAGTATTTACCAGGCAGCAAAGCCCTCAAGAGCACATCATTTATCTAGAAGATACACAGCGCACCTCGGTGGGCTGGCCACGCCTCGTGGAGGAGCTGGAGGCACACGGCACAGAGCCCCCCAAACTGCTTTAACCATCCGACTATGGAGAAGGGGAAAGATGCTTACTTGGTTGTCACAGGAGAAGACGACCTCTTAGAAACGCCTGCTGGAAAATCGCATCTTCTCAGAGGGGACATGAGGCCCACGCTGGGAACGGAAGTTGTTGTTCTCGGCCCCCTCTTCATCTTCTCCGTCTGTAGGGGACACAGAATAGGACGTCCATGGCCCATGACTGCCATTACTTCTACAATTTCTAAAAATACCCCAGATAGAAGCAATGCACAGCTTTCTTTCAGAAGGAACCATACGGAGCTAAACTGCTTCTCACAATGGGAATCTTTGCAGAGAAGCAGCAGGGGGTCATCATATTTAGGTCATTCAGTTAAAAAAAACAAAACAAAAAAACCCCTCAGCCTTAAAACATAAAGACCGCCTTCTCCTTGTTATCTTACAAAAAGCTAACAATGGAACCAGCTTATGGTCCTGGACATATAGAGGCTGGAACGAGTACCAAGATATACAATCACTATTTTTTTAAAAAAAAAGCTATAGGTGGGTGCAAGACAGGGAGCTGGGGACCCTAACAGTGTACGCAGTTTAACGGGGACTGCAACCCCTCCATCCCTCTATGTCTTCCCCATGGCCTGCCTCACATGGGCCTCTGTGACTGGCCCGCGGCAGGCAGTCTGCAACGGTGGTCCCCTTCTCTCCCTATTGTGATTTTCTGCATCAAATCCTCACGCAGCCCCCATGCCCACATACATTAGCCCCCTTCCACAGGAATCCACCCAGCAGTAAAACCCTAGGGTCTGAAACATTCACTTCTCCTGTGAGAACCTTGGGATCACACTGGATTAAAAAAATAAATATGGTGTTATAAAATAAATGCCCAATGGTAATGTGGTGTTTAAAATGAGTCCGGATGTCATTTGATGCTCCTTGCTTTAACAGGTGGAGCTCAGTTCCCTTCTCCTCAAGCGTGGGTTTGGTCTCTCTCTCCCTCTCTGATCTCTTGCTCTAGGGGAGCCAGCTGCCATGTTCATCTGGACACTCAAGCAGCTCTCTGGAGAGGTCCATGCAGTAAGGAACTGGGGCCTCCTGCCAACGGCCACGTGAGTGAGCTGTCCTGGAAGAGCCCCAGCCAAGCTTTCTGACGACTGCAGCCCTGGCTGCCATCCTGACCACACCCTCATGAGAGACCCTGAACCAGAAGCACCCAGCTAAGGAATCCTCAATTTCTGACCCAAAGAACCAGGGAGGTAATAAACATTGGCTTTAAGCTGCTAAGGTTTGGGGTAATTTGTTACATAGCAAGTGTAACTAACGAAAGTAGTATGGCATGTATAACTTCTACACAAATCTACACAATCAGGGGTACCTGCTCAACATTTGCCTTACTGATAGTGTTACCATGGACGACAAAAATGTTTAAAGGCCACTGTTGTGGATGAAGGTTGACCTAGAACTTCAGTTCTAGTTGCCTGTAGAGGCAAGACTGGCCCAGAATCAGACATCCTTAAAGAAGCAGAGAAAGGGCACTCGGAACATTCCTTCTGATGCCCGTCCTCTGGAGGACAGGCTATAATGAGCACAAGGGCTTTAGGAATCTGTTCCAAGGCACTAAGATTTAGGAGGGTGCAAAAAGTTAAATGATTTTCAAAGGTTGGGTGCAGTTTTAAACCAAATCTGCCCCTTGAGCAGTCCCTGGAGATAGATGGAAAGAGACCCCAGGTCAAGTGCAGGGAGTAATCACACTGCCAGATAAACCAGTCCCGAGGGGCGAGTGGGTATAAACCTACCGGAGAGGCCTCCGCTCCTGCAGGGGCTCCTTTTCCAGCATCTCCTACGCTAGATGTAGATGTCGTCTTCTTCTTCTCGGCATTTCGAGTGGGAGAAGACTTGTAGGAAGATTTAAGGGGGCCAGCAGGAGCTACACGAGGACAGGCATGGGATACTAGAGCGTTACAGTATAAAACCCAGAGACACAGGGAGCACAGACGGAAGAAGTAGGGGGAACAGAGGGTTGGGAAGAACACCACGTTTCTGTTAAAACGTGACACGGGCAATCCACATTCTCAAAATGCCACCACACTTTTTCTAGTGTACACAGAATAGACCGTATCTTAAAAGACCCCCATACTCAATGCTCAAGAGTCCAGTTCATTTCAGGAGTTCAAAATCTGGGCTTTGGAGCCAGATGGACCTAGCACCATCACCTAATAGCTGGATCACCTTGGGTAGGTGACTTAACCTCTCTAAATGTCAATTTCCTTGTACAGGAGACAGTTAACAGAGCAGACCTGACTGCTGTCCTTGGAACGGCCTGTTCACAAGGTTGACCCCTGTAAGCATCTGGAAACTTGGATTTCAGGAGGGTTCTCACCATTAACTGATGAGTAGCTCACTGTGCCTAAGCTGTCTGTACAAACAACATGACTGATCTTGCTTTCTTGTTCTGAGTCTGGAATGTGGTATGTGCCTGGAAGGGGGTGCCTACGTGACCAGCGCTGGGCGCTGAGTCTCTTAATGAGCCTCCCTGGTTGGCAACATTTCACGCGTGTTGTCACAGCTCGTTGCTGGGGGACTCAGGCACATCCTGTGTGACTCCACTGGGAGGGGACTCTTGGAAAGCTGCACCTGGTGTCCCCTGGACTCGCCCGTGCGCCAATTCCCCGTGCTGTTTGTGCTGTGCAGCCTGCGCTGGAATGCCTACGTGACCAGCGCTGGGCGCTGAGTCTCTTAATGAGCCTCCCTGGTTGGCAACATTTCACGCGTGTTGTCACAGCTCGTTGCTGGGGGACTCAGGCACATCCTGTGTGACTCCACTGGGAGGGGACTCTTGGAAAGCTGCACCTGGTGTCCCCTGGACTCGCCCGTGCGCCAATTCCCCGTGCTGTTTGTGCTGTGCAGCCTTGCGCTGGAACATCTCAGCTACGAGCGCCACCACATGCTGAGTCCTCTGAATCCCCCTAGCGAATCACTGAACCCGGGGTGGTCTTGGGGACCCCTGACACAATTGGTGTCAGAAGCAGGAATCCTGAGAAAGACCCTGATTCCCTGATGTATAGTAAAAGCACTGTTTGGTAAAAGGAAGGAGAAAGGGGTGGAGGATGACTACCCACTGATGCCTGGTGGCTATGGAGCCCCCCCACCAGAGGAAACTGCAGCCAAGCCGCTGTCTGTTGTGAGAGGTGAAATACCTATGGAATCTGAAGATGACCCATGGAACTCCAAGTGCTGGCTTGCTCGATCCTCTGGCTGCTTTTGGCCATGCTGGCTTAAGTGAGGGGAAGAGTGCAGCCCAGGTGATGCCTTTAGTTTTCACTTTCTCCTCCAAGTGGAAGTGGGACACAACCTCCTTGTTTTTTACCACCAGTGGTTTGGCTGGAATTTAAATTCTGAGTAGTGGAACCAGAACAAGTCTCCATACCTGGTGATTTTTGCATAATGGAGCCTCTGGGAAAAGGGAGTTGTAAAAAGAGAGGCAATCTCCAGACAGAGACACACTTTTGAAGTTTTAAAAATCAACCCGGAACCACTGTAGATACAGAACACCCCTCCGTGGGGCCCTAACCTGAGAAAACAACACAGATGCTGGCTGGACCACCCGGGTCACAGACAAATGCACACAGGAAAGAGCTCGTTCTCTGATGGGACCATCCAACACGGAGCTGCTGGTGGGCTCTCGACTTCTGACGTGGAGCCTGACTGCATTTCTAACTTGTAATTAGTGCCAGAGCTGCAAGCTGGGAAAGGGCACTCAAGGGAGTGTGACCCTCCGTCCACCTCAATGAGCAGGCTCGACCCCCTCTGGGGGATGCACCACTGCTGACGAGACAAGACGTCTGGTGTTTGACTTTCCAGATTGGCTACGGTTTGTTAACAACGGACCAAGAGCCTGACTCTACTTCCCTTGCCCTTCTCCTGCTACGCACACCTCGGAAAGGCAACTTGTTCAATGCACCTGTCCCTGAAAAGGGACTGATCTTTTCTAGGCTGCTCACTGAATAAATGAAGAGGATGGAAGAGACGGGGAGGGGGGGTGGTGATGCAAACCTATTTTGAAAGTTCAGGATTTTGTCCCAGTTTCTGAGCATGATGTGTCATTCTGCTTAAGCTGGACACATTTTTTTTTTTAAATAAAAATGCTCTTGTCCTTCTTGCATTCAACCCTTCCAGATGAAAGGTCCATGTTAGAGTAGAGGATGACTTAGAAAATGTAAAGTTGTGATTATTGAAAGGGGCATGCAGACAACAATGGAGAAAAACAAAACCCAGCCCCACTGGAGTGGTGCAGGGGGAGGGCCAGGGGAGGGGCATTCACGATCTTTCTCTTCCAGAACTGTTTCTGGGAACTCTCCCCTCTTGCTGAAGGAAAACCACACTGCCTTTGCAAGCTGCTGCCAGCGCTTCAGAGTCACACAGACTGCAGGTGACAGCGTGACCTGAGACGGCAGGGGCAGGCCAGCTCCTGCGCAGTCCCCGCTCAACACCTCCACACGCAGTCCACGCTCGGCCGGAGATGAAGCCAGTGTCGCTCGCAGAACTGTTTAGAATGGACTGCCTCAGGCAGGGCCTCTGAAAGCAAGCAAAACTGAGAGCTGGGGGCCCTGTGAGCCTGGACTGCCTGCCCAATGCACGTCCTGCGTGGGGTGCCCGAACATCATGAACTCTGTTTCCAGGGGACATGTGTGCTCTCGGGGACTGCACTTGTACCATCATGACACTGCCTCAGCCCTGGATGGCTTTGGGCCAGCTTCATCTTACTGCCCGGTGCTGGCTGGGCCTGAATTGATGCCTCAGGCCAGGTAGGAGAGGTTCATATGGAAACCTGCAGAGGAAGCCAGCTGGCTTTTCTAAGACAGACCTGGAGGGTGACTGGCCTGTGCCTTAACTAAGTGCAGCACCCCTACATGGCATAAGTGAGATCCACACGGTAGGCTGGCCTCAGCCTGCTATACGAGCTCCTGTTGATAATAATTCTGCTGTAAAGACACCGTGGCCAAGGACCAAGGGCGTGAACTGTGCAGAGAAGAACAGAAAAAACACAGCAGGCCTAACTGCTTTCCCTGGAAAGGCCTGCTTACCACGCTGGCCCCGGCATCGGGGAACTTGGATTTGGGCAGAGTTCCCACCGTTAACTGGTAAGAGTGGCTCACTGCGCCTAAGCTGTTGGTACAAACAACATGACTTACGCTGAACACCTGCTTTCCTTCTGAGTTTGGAATTTGGGTACATACCTGGCAGGGGGTGCCCACGTGACCAGCCCCCACTACAAACTCTGGGCACTGGGTCTCTAATGGGCTTCTGTGGTTGGCAACACTTCATACATGTACTAATTCATTGCTGGGGGAACGTGTCCTGTGTGACTCCACTGGGAGAGGACGCCAGGAGCCTGTGCCCGGTCTTCCCTGGACTTTGTTCCATGTACCCTTTCCCTTCGCTGATTTTGCTCTGCAGCTTTTTGCTGTAATAAATCATAGCTCTGAGCTCTCCTGGAGAATCATCGAGCCTGGGAGAACTCCTCCTGACACATTTCTCATTCTCAAAATGGGGATACTTCCTACTTGCCAGGAATTTTGTGTTTATTTGTTTGAGATAGAATTCATACACCATAAAGGTGTACAATTTAGTGGTTTTCAGCATATTTACAAGGTTGTGCAACCATAACTACAGTCTAATTCCAGAACATTTTCAACACCCCCAAAAGAAACCCTGTGCCCATTAAGCACTCACTCCTCTTCCCCCTCCCCTAGTGCCTAGTAACCACTTATTTACCGTCTCTCTGGATTTGTCTATTCCAGACATTTCATAAACATGGAATCATAAAACTTGTGGCATTTTCTGCCTGGCTTCTTTCACTGAACATAATGTTTTCAAGGTTCATCATGTAGCATGTATCAGTAATTCATTCCTTTTTATAGCTGAATAATATTCCACTTTATGGATAAACACATTTTGTTTAGCCATTCATCTATTGCTGGATATCTGGGTTGTTTCCACATTGTGGCTAATCTGAATAATGCTGCTGAGAATACGTGTATACTTCATTGTGTATGTTTTCAGTTTCCTTGACTCTATACCAAAGAGCAGAATTGCTGGTTCATGTGGTAACTCTAACATTTTGAAAGACTTGTCAGACTGTTTTCCAAAGCAGCTGCACATTTTACGTTCCCACCAGCAGCGTATAAAGGTTATAATTTCTCCCACATCCTCGCCAATACATATTACAGTTGACTCTTGAACAACACAGGTTTGAACCGCATGGGTCCACTTGCACGCAGATTTTATTCAATAGTAAATACTACGGTACTATTTGTGGCTGGTTGAATCTGCGGATAGGGAACCAAGTATACAGAGGGCTGAATATAAAGTTAGATGCAGATTTTTGACTGAGGCGGGCTGGTACCCCCAACCCCTAAATTGTTCAAGAGTCAACTGTATTATCCTTTTTTTCTTTGAATTTTAGCCATCCTAGTAGTGGGAAGCAGTATCTCATTATGGTTTTGATTTGCATTTCCCTAATGACTAAGGATGTTCGGCATCTTGTCATGTGCTTATTGGCCATTTGTATATATTCTCTGCAGAAAGAGCACAACTACTTGGAAACAGATAGAACTAGGTAGAGGACAATATGTCCTTTATATGTTATCTCACTGAATACACTATATCTTGGGAACTGACACGGAGACCAGACATGCCCTAATGTGGACACAGCATTACTCACTTGCAAAACTCACAGGGAACACTAGTGCCCATTAATTTTTTTTTTTTTCTTTTTTAGTCCCCATTAAACTTGCCACGATGGTTTGATCTGCTTTGGTCAAGGAAGGGTTTTGACGGTGTGGCCCACTGTTTCTTGGACTTCAGTGTGCAGGTCTGGCGGGGCCTGAGAGTCCACCCTCCTACAAGCTCCCAGGTAATACCAACGCTGTTGGTCCATGGACCACCCCTTGAGTAGTGAGGCTCTAGATACCTGTTCTGACTGTGTCCATCATTGTGCTATCTCCTTTAGTTCTCATGACAATTTTAAATAACTCCGCTTTAGAGATGAGGAAACTGAGGCTTAGAGAGGTTAATTAAGTCACCCAAAGTGGTAAGAGCTAGTAAGTGGTAGAGCCGGTTATGGGACTTCTGAGATTGCAGTTTATAGGCTATTTTACCAAACCGTCTTTTTAAAAAAGTCTACTAACCGCCATAGCTCATGAGATGGATTCTTTTCCCCTAATCCACATGCCCTCACTCATAAAATAATTTACTCACCTCTGTGACACTTGAGAGAAAAGAAATATAGCAACAATAAAACAGTGGTGGGTAGAAAATGTTATTAACCATAGAAGACATTTCATGAAGCCAACAAATGTGAAGCAACATACAAAAATTCAGGAATAACTCAAAGGCCAACCAGTACCATTTGGGGCATTTTCCTCAGTGTCACCAGCTTGGCCTCTTTTACCTGAGTGACTGGCCTGCTCAGAGAGCATGAGTGCACTTCTGCTTCTGGCTAAAGAAGCCTGTGTGGGTGTCAACAGTCGCATAACAAGAAAGGTTTCCATGGGACTAAGGTGCGTGCGATGAGCTGAGGGATGGAATCAAATGAAAATTTTAAAAAGCAAAATTAAAACAAAACAAAATAAAATGCCTAAAACAACACAGTGCATGATGCAAATCAACTTTTGGGTGGCAGAACGAATGTGGAAAGAAAAAATATTGTAGCAAAGGATGGCTTCGGAGCTTGTCATAGTAAAAGAAAGCAGACGCTGTGTCATTTAGAGCTTGGGAGAGTGTGTTACTTCTCTTGGGGTGCCAGAATTCATTCACCATGCTATTACAGAATTAGCGTATCCCCTGTATCACCCGAAGAGAATCAGCCCATATTCCAAGATGTCATATGGACTCAAGAAACCATTTACTCACCAAGTAGATCTAACATTGGAAAAAAAGATTACTCCTACAAAACACTTGTTTTAGGCCCTCTGTTAGGAAACATTTCATAACACACTGATTTTGTTACTGTAGAAATACGCATCCTTTCATACTTTTCCCACGCAAGTAAGGGCAAAAATTAAATAAGAAACATTAAAAAAAAATAGCCAACTAATTATCAGCTTTAATGGGAGTAGTAGTACCCATAATCTAAAATTCAGTGACTGAAATGTTATTTTGATGGTTTCGGAGCATATTATATGATAATGGATTAACTTTTCAATAACTTCGTCTTCTTTGGGTATCCACTAGCCAGTAAATGGCTTGCAAATTTCAAATTTTCAATTAATAATCCACAAGCAGATAATTCAGTTGCCAACAATATATAATAACATACTGATTATCTTTATACATTAATCAGTGCAAATATGAATTTAACATCAACTTGTAACCATATGAATTAATGAAAACCTATGGGATATACTCACAAATGGAACGGCTATACAGAATTAAAAGCATGCAGATGTTTTCTCATCCAGCTCCTAGTTAATTCAAGGTTTCCAGCGCTTACCCATGAACTGCATCAGAGAGCTTCAACACTGATACTTATGGGGTCTCTGACACACATGACAGACCTCTGTGCTGGAGGTGCAAGGTCAAAGACAGTGGGAAAAGACCAGGAACGCACACTGGCCTCTTCGGAGTCACAAACATCCTCCTGCTCACCCCCTGGTGATGATTCGATGTGTTAAATACTCCACTGGCACCTGACGCTTCTTCAGTGATGCTTTAAGATACGCATTTAATGCATGGAGAGCTTCCCTCCCTTCCTTAACCTACAAACTCTGAAAGGTAGCAATTCAGACTTTTAGTGCCTTCTCTGAGCCTCCAATAGAACACGGGTGATTTTATATCTATTCAGTTTCTGGAACTGGCACCCGTCCTATACATACCACCTCTCACCTCAAAACAGAGAGCCAGAAAAGGCCACCCATCCTTTTGCCCTTTTAAAGATTTCATATTAGTTCTGAACTTCTGTTGTCAAAAGAGAAACGGGCAGGCTTACAAACCACAGACAAGAGCAGAGCCCCATTTTTTTCACACATCTAAGTCTCCCACGTACCTCTGCCTCATCAATCCCGCTGTTTTTGGCTAATCAACAATATCGCACCAGTAACTGGGCAGTTACTTTTTTAACAGTCACATCTGCCCACTGGTCAATTAACCCCAGGCCAGGATAACGTTTACATGCACTGTGGAAAATGGAAGTCTCTTTCAGACTGGGAGCACAGCATGAGCTCCTGTCCCTATTCAACAATGACCTGGTCGTGAAGAGCACGTTGCCACTTTCCAAAGTCCCATTAGTGAGGCCCTGGGGCTCCCACACACAGATCGCAAGGCTAGGAGAATGGGGCTATTTGCAGAAGGCTCAAGAGGGGCTCTCCCAAAGACTGACGTTAACACGCTCACACTAGAAAGAAGAAAACTGGAGAGACCAGGTCTACACGTTCACTTGCCTCGGTCTGGGGAATAGGACATTGTCGCGGTGGATGAAGACAGGCGCTTACTCATGGGAGGCTCCGTCTGCTTTGGCAAATTCATGGTTGATGTTGAAAGTTTGTCACATGCTGCAGAGAAATGCATTAAAGACATTGGTATTCACACCACTCTAGACTAAGAAACACATTTCCCAAAGTGTTCTTCCTGTCCTCATCCACACGCCTCCAAAACCACTGTGGCACAGCACACTGCTTCCAGCTCCCTGCCCTCCACTTGGCACGTCTGGGAACGCCTGGGCCACAGCAGCCATCCATCTGAAGCAAGTTCTTCTCTTCTATTGCTCAACTTTGTGTATCTCTTTGATTCCAAATGTTCAGCCTCACTCAGTTGTTCAACTAAAGCCATGCTAATCCCACCAGCCAACCCTTTCCTTGTGTCCAGGGACTTTTAAGTAAATTCAGACCACACAAAAACAAAACCAACCTGGACCCAGAGACAAAGCACCACTGCAAAATGTTCTACGATCTGACTGAGACTGGGTGAGCTGAAACTGGACTTTTTCTGAGGTTATCTAGAGCTCAGGTTGCAGAGAGAAGTAATTTGTAAAGCAAGGAGCTGTATTTAAAGCAGAACAACCTTTAGCAGTTGGTTTCTTCCTTTTATCAAGAGATGAGGTCACAATGGCCCTTTCTCAAAGGCTATGACTGTTTATGGTTAGGATTTTAAAATGTGGTCCTGGGTTTGGTACTCTTAATTTCCCACCGTTATCTCAGACGGGCTTCTAAATGAAACGACTGCAGCAACCCGAGAGGTGCTGACAGTGCCAGCCAAGTCATAACCGAGCTTGAGGCAAAAGGAAAGATGTGTGGCCCCCGCTCTAAAGGAAGCAAACTCATCAACAATATTCTCAAAATCTACTCTTCTACTAGTCTTGTTTTCAAATGAGAGAAGTGTCATGTTTGACAATTTCTCCTGACAAAGTGATGAACCTAAATAATTTTTAAATAACTTAGACTGAAGTAAAATTATAATACAGTCTGTTTGGGTATAAATAAAATATTTAAACTTAAAATGGTATGAGTTTTCATACACCTACTTTTCAATGTTTCAGTTTGAGTATTTTAATGTTCTGGGAAAAATAACCATTAGAAATTACATAAAACCACGTCTCTAGGGGTACACGTTTCCCCTTTTGCCTCAGGCTCCAATATGGCTCAGCATGGTACTGGTCTTTGCAAATTCAGTATTTTGTTCATCATAGATTGTTCTTCATTAATTTTGATTAAAATATTCTTTTATCTTGATTACTGAGATTTCTGCCACTCCCTTAAACTAAGTGCTCCAGTCGAGCACCACACTCACCTCACCCTGTCCCAGGGCCCTGGGTACGATTCCCAAGGTGTCATTATCAACTCTACCTGCCCCTCTCTGTTGGGGGAAGGCCAGTGCCCATATGACAGTGAACGTGGCCCAGGTGGCAAAGTCTCTGCTACTCAGCAACACCGATAAAAATTATTCTTTGTCAAAGAAATGCTGGAGACCAAGGATATTTAATCCTAATGCTATAATTCGACCCTCTGGGTGGCTGGGAAATATTGTATCCCTTTTACATCTTGTTTTTTCTTTACCAGTCAAAGCTGGGTTGAATTTCTAAAGTCCCTATTAAATGGGAGCAAGGTTTTGCTAGTTCTATTCTTGACCTAGACCCTAAGAATTTCCCAGGCCTGTATACAAAACAGAGAGCCTATTAGAAAGAGGAAATCAAGAACAAAGGCGATTTATCTCCTTGTTTGGATTCACAGTGTTAGTACTGGTAAACTCAAACACCTCTCCAGGAATCTATCGCATTAATACCCCAAACTCCGTGTAATTATAGGTTCTGGTAACCAGAAGTGATTGAAATACCCTACTACTTATGCCTAAAAACCAATGATACATGAGAGCGTTGAAGATCCAAATGCCCAGAAGTCAAACACTGACAAGATTTTCAAGGCAGAAGTTAGTGAGCTGAAGATGAAATGTCTCCAGGGTACTAGGATGTAAGGCATGCACGCTCCACGATGACGAACAAAGAAATATGGGCATGTCATTCACTTTCTAGAAAAAAGTTCTAAGGGGTCAGACTAAGAAATCAATTGTAAGAGTGCTTGAGACAGACACAGTGATGGAGGAGGGTGACCGGGACAGTCATCACAAAATGCCATGGCACAGTGATGCTCAGATATACCGTTGGTGGACTCAGCAGCGGCGGCAGTGGTCCCTGGGTCCGGAGGGAGGGTGCTGGCTGCTAAACCTAGAGGTGGGGGTGGGGTATTTCCTGATTCACCTACACAGCAAAAAAAAAAAAAAAATCAGAGCAAAGACAGGTAAAAGAAAAAAGTCCCAATTTCTGGTTGACTCTAGTTTCCATTAGGAAATTAGAAAAAGTAACTGAGATGGGTTGTTGACATCTCAAAAAAAGGAAAAGAAAAGAAAAGTATATTCACTGACAAAAGGTTAAAAGCACAATGCAGCAAAGTCAAGAAATTGTACCACTCATGTAAACCCATTTGCTCTCAGAAAGAGCTGGTATACAGCTCCTGCATAACAGAATGGCAGACACAGAAAAGACACGAAAAAGAGGGCAAAACCACCCAGGGACTAGTAACAATCCATACATTAAACATTTGAAAATTGAAAGATGAGTATGAACTGGATAATGAAATAAATAAGTCACCTTAAAACAAAACTGAAAGAGCAACAAAAATAAATAATGTGGAGGGAAGAACCCCAGCTCCTTTTACGGGGTTACTGCTGCTCAGCCTTTCCCCGTCATGCTGCAGCCATGACTGAGCCTACTGTCATTGACCTTCCCTGAAATCAGGTTACCTCTGGGCTTGCTAGGTGGATCCGGTTAACCAGGCTCTACATTCATTTTCTTTGTTTTTCTTTTGATTTACCTCAAAGCCCAGTTACTGTATCAACTGCTGTTTGTGAGCAAGAAGAATGAACAGATCCCCTTCGCAAGAAATGCACACACAGGAAGCTTGGCAGCTTTAAACATCACATCCGAAAAAGGTACCTGCAGATCGGTACAAAGCATCCCCCAGATCCTGCAGGTGCCAGTCTGCCTGTGATCTCCCTCCTGCCCCAAGATCTCCCCACCGGGCCCTGCGATGCAGGGACAGCCCTTCACTCACCATCGCGTCCTCCGGGCGCCGCAGCCAGTGATGCTCCCCACGAGCACTTCTTCTTCAGCTCCAGCTGCTGCGTGCGCTCCAGGGACCTGCGCATCATCGCCTCCAGCCGCTCCTGCCCAGTTCACGCAAGAGAGAGCAAGATTAACCACCCAGCCCCGCGGCACTGCTGCACCTCCGGGCGGGGGGGGAGCTTCGGGGCCACGGAGGAGGGCACAGCAACAGGGTGCGGAGGGCAAAGCGGAGAGATTCCCACACAGAGGATCAGGGCCGACTGGCACTCACCAGCCCGAGAGGCTTTTCTTGCTCCCCGCCCCGGGGGGGGGGGGGGGGGGTGGGGTGGGGGTGGTGGTGGTGGTGGTGAGTCACCAGACGGGTCTCTCTGCTCAGCATCCAAAACCCAGGCACTTGTGCTTTCCCCACCACGCCAGCGCCTTCTTAGTGGGCGGAGAGTAAACAAGGTGGCTAGTGCTGGCTCCCAGCCCCAGCACCTCTTCCCTCTCAGGGGAGAGGCTGCTGCGGCAGCCAGGCCTTGATTTATTTAAGAATAATGCCAGACAAGCATTAACTCCTTGAGGCCTGTCCCATCCAGTAGAACTGGAATTGTGCTCTAGAACCAACTGCATCCTCTCTTGTTGACAAGCATCAAGGACTATGATTTGAGTAAACGGAAATATAATTTGAATTTTAATAGCCTTAAGCATAACTTTTTTGGGGGATACACCATGACTTTGAGGTCCATTTTGCAAAGTCCCATTTCCCTCTTAGAACTTCTAGTCTTAAAGGGGAATTAATTGTTCTCTACATTATAACACTTTTCTGCTACGTAGTATCTGGGGATAATACTGCGTATTTCAAAATTCAAGAGACAAAAGTAGAGAAACTTCTGTCCACAAAATCAAGCATCTATGCATTCTCAGAGCCGGACGCGGGGAGAGGTGGGGAGGGAGGAAGAACTAAACAGTTTTTAGCCAGAAGAGAAAAACAACCAGGCTTCTCTCCTAACAGAGCATTTATCAAAAGCACTCCCGTGTATTAACCAAACTGTTCTTTTCATAAAGTTGGGCCTGACTGCTGGCAAGTCTTTCCCTGGCACTGCAATGACACTGCAAATACCAAATCCGCTCCCTGCCTCCACTGGAGAAGGCCCACAGGGTAAGCGGTTACACGGACACCTTTTCACCCTCATAAAACCCCACCCTGAGGTGCTCCAGGAACTGGGCTAATCCTAGCCCAACTTCAAAACAAAAAGATGCTATTTTCTCATGGCTTAAATAAACAAGCAAGCAAAATTAATTTAGGGCAGCACCAACTGAGTGACCGTGACTTAAGGATCGGGGAAATGCTCCTTTATTTCACTCACTAGATACACAAAAAGGTCACTTAGGAGGTGCCTGGATCTATCCCTTTTGTCCACACCGGAGGGATGAGATGAGCATTCTCCACATCTCAGCCTCCTCTGCATAGTTCTTCCTCCGAATAGCGCTTTGCTAAAAGACAGCTTCTCCAGGGACCTGTGAGCAGAAAGGGGATTTCTTTCCTCCTGTAAGTCTCAGGTTCGTATTTGCTATTAACTGCGCTCTAGTTTTTGGCTGAGACTCTACAATCATGAGTGTGCATTTCCTGGCAGAATCCTGTTCTCAAGACCCTGGCCCATTAAATTCTGACAGCCAGCCCCAGCGGTTTGTCTGAGAAAAGATGAGGGCTTGGAGGAACTAGAACTTCTTGACTATTTGAGGACTGAAGTCTGATCACTCAAGACTGGGGCTCGATAGTATTCCTTTATATGGATTTAACATCAATTATTTAACCAATGACCTGATTTTTTATATCTTCATTGGAGTATAATTGCTTTACAGTGTTGTATGAGCTTCTGCTGTACAACAAAGTGAATCAGCTATACATATACATATATCCCCATATCCCCTCCCTCCCACCAATGACCTAATTTAAGTGTTGAAATCTTTCACCTCAGAGTGAATTTAGTATTGAGTGGGTTATGGGAGATTGCCTACATGCCAGAAAGACCTCACAAGACAGTCCTTGGGCTTCCCTGGTAGCGCAGTGGTTAAGAATCCGCCTGCCAATGCAGGGGACATGGGTTCGAGCCCTGGTCCGGGAAGATCCCACATGCCATAGAGCAACTAAGCCTGTGCGCCACAACTACTGAGCCTGTGCTCTAGAGCCCGCGAGCCACAACTACTGAGCCCGTGTGTCACAGCTACTGAAGCCCGTGTGCCTAGAGCCCGTGCTCTGCATGCAACAAGAGAAGCCACTGCAATGAGAAGCCCACGCACCGCAATGAAGAGTAGCCCTGGCTCGCCGCAACTAGAGAAAGCCCACTCACAGCAACGAAGACCCAATACAGCCAAAAATAAATAAATAAAAAATAAATTTATATAAAAAAAGTCCTTCATCTACTAGGAGACAATGAGAACAAAGAACATCAAGACGCACAGCCAACCGAATCACTGAATAGCTATCTAGGGGCATAATTTTAAGGGAATGTTCATCCAAAGCCAGACCTACTCCTGAGCCTTTCGGTTACCTTTAGAAAAAATACCTCTGTCATCTACCCCTAACCCAGTGAGCTGCTCCAAATTCTACCATTAGAGATTTATTCCTTTGAACTGTACGCAGACTTACGAAAATGATGCTATCCCTGAGAGAAGGCACAGTCACTCTGTGTCACCCACTTTTGGAGAGATGATTAAAAATAGGTGGTAACCAAGCTCTACGGTAAGGGAACTTATAAAACCCAAGCTGTCAGAATGGGATGTTTCAAACATGTCAGAACCAAAACTGGTTCACTTCACTCTTATTAGAGGTTAGTCCCATATAGTCCCTAGCATGTGTGTGTATCTTTCTCTTCCTTCATGTGATGGAATGCAAAGAATCCTAGTTTGGAATCAGCAGATGTGAATTCAAATCCCACTTCGGCCTGCTACTTAGTCCCATGACCCTGAGTTAATCGTTTAATGTCATCCTTGGGCATCGGTTCCTCTGTCTATAAAATGGGTATGATATTACCTATATTACAGATCATTCAAGTCTACAAGATAACAACTAGCATAGTAAGTCGTTAACCAGTGCTAACTGAATCCAGGTTTGAAGAGGAGGATTGCTAACATGGCAGTGTAGAGCACTGGTTCTCAAATGGGAGTGAGTCTGCCATCAGAATCACCTGGAGGGTTTGTTAAATCACCAGTTGCTGAGCCCCGCCCCCAGAGTTTCTGAGTCAGCGGGTCTGAGGTGAACGTGCTGACAATGCACTCCTCGTGTAAGTTCCCAGGAGATGCGGGTGCTGCTGGGGAGATGTGGGTGCTGCTGGGGCGATGCGGGTGCTGCTGGTGCTGGGATGGTGCTGAGAACCACTGGTTAGAGGAAAGGCTGAGCATGAGAGAGCGTGTGTGAGAAAGTTCAATCACATCAGAAGAACGGTATTAATAAATACCACAGCTGCATACTGCATACTGCAATTCCTGCCAAGTTCTGGCTCTCCTGAGGATCATCTGATGATCAACAGAGGAGGGGGAAAGGGCAACGCAGATTATTGTCCCTAGAATAGCCTCTATTGGGTGGGGCTTAGTGGAAGGAAGGAACGAGGGCAACTCACCCTTGACCCATTGAGCTCTGGCCCTAGACCTGCCTGGATGAACTTAGAGGAGATCCACGACCAAGGTGATGCACTGAGCTGGCCGAGCAGTATGAAAGGCCTCCAGCAGGGCTTGGCCTGGCCACTGTTACCCAGACAACTGTCTCAGGCAGGAGTGGAGGGCTGACTGTGCCTTTTCCACTGCCCTTACTACATGTGTTCTGGGGATGACAGCATGGGGACAAGCCCCCAAATGGTCCTAAGCAGGGCTCCGTGGAGGGCCCTTCTCCCTGCAAACAGACGTCCACATCTGGCCAGAAATCCACGTAATCACCATGCCCCATGCCAGCCAATGCCCTCTGAGAGCAGTCAGCTCTCGGCTTAGTGAAGTTTTTGCTTAGTTGAGTTCAGAAAGTTCTCATTTTTACACTCAGCCTGGTGGGTTTTGTTAGGTATCAAGCAAGAAGAATATGAGAAGTTGTGATGTGTTCAAGTAACTTACAGAGATGAAGGTGCTCTTTGAAAGAGGTCTTTCCTGGTCTTCTGTTTCGCATGAGGAACATGGAGGTGGCTTCACCAAATACCATTTTCCAGGGCCCCTAGTCATGAAGCTATACTTCCCTGAGTGGAGAAGGGGTGAGCGCATTGTGCTGTCAGCCTTAACCCAGGCAGATGACAAAAGCTTGTTCCAGAAGCTTGACTCTTGGGAGCTGTGTGGCATGTGAAGATTGGAAGAACCCACCTGTAGGAGAAGGCGGGCCTCCAGCGAGAAAATGAGCTCAAGGTCAGAGTGTCAAGTGGACACTGGACTCCCCCTTCGCAAGGACAGGCCTGACCAGCTTCCAGCCCTCGACACCTCTGGGAGCTAGGCCGGCTGTGATGCCCACTTCTGTGTTGGTGGAGAGGAGGCCTCCAGGCCGAGTCTGGGGCTCACCCACACAGATGTGGGGCACTACCAAGAGCAACATCATGGACACAGTCCCAGGCACATGGAGCCAGGGCAGGGCTGGTGGGGGGTTGAGGGGTCAACACGCCTCTTATGAGCTCCTAATATCAGACCCACAGAGGCAGGAGTTTGTGGGCAACGCTAACACTTTCCAGCAAGCTACAGAAGCAAAATGGAACGAACCATCTTCCTGCGGAGGCTTTTCCCTGGTTGACAGAGACAGGCCCTGACAAAAAGGACTTAAATCTGGCACTGAGAAGAGGATGGAGAGTCTCCACAGCCATGTGCCAAGCAGGCAGCAGCCCTCCCAAAGATCTCCAGTGAACCACGGGGACAAATGCAAAGGCTTTCCTTTGGAAAGGGCTCCCGCAGCAGAGACCTATCTGTCCTCTCCAAAGATCACCCATGAGAATGCCAGTCAGACCTCTGCACTAGCAGAGCACTGATGATGAGGTGACTGACAGGCCAGCCTGCATGGCGAGAGTCCCTAAGCTCCACCCGGGTCTCCGGGGGCTCAGAGGGCAGGAGCAGGTGGTGGAGGGAGCCCACTGCTTCCTCCGGTTGCTCTACACCCCTGGGAGGCCCAGCTCTCAGCCCTGCCCTGCCGTGTGTGGGGAGAAGAGGGGCGCAAGCTCGATCTGTGTTCGCGCTGACCACGGGCAGGCAGCCTGCCCCACTCCCCACCATCACCACACCAGGGGTGAAAGGGAGCACGCAAAGGAAACAGGAAATTGTCCGAAGCACAGCCCCTGACGAGTCAGCTGCATCAGGACCAATCACCTGGCATGACATCCCCTCATCTGTCACACGGGTCCCTCAAAGGTGGACCCGTGTGACACTGTCAGGTGTGGCAGAGGCTCAGGAAGAGTCTCCCGTGACTTCACAGCACCCCTTCCTGGAAACGGCAGTGACACACATTCCCTGCAATCAGCAATCCCACAGGAGGTCAGGAGTGGAAATGGAGAGAGCAGGGAGAAAAGAGAGAAGCTGTGAGTCAAGGAAGGGAGGATGGGAAGTTAAGGGGCAAGTCCAGCACTCATGACAAACACCCAGGCTGGGAAAGGAGAGATCCGCCCCGTCACTGAAACAGCCCCAACGCACTGTGGCTCTTCTCCTGGTCTCTACACTCTGTGCCATAATCTTTCCTGGGTAGCTCTCTCTTGACCTTGCTTCGGCCAGGGTCAGCTGAAGTCACTGAAGGGAAGCTAACATTTCTGAGCGACTACTCTGTGCTAGGTGCTTTGCTGGCACTTTCAGAAGTTACCTCTTTTAACTCCTATGACCACCTCTGTTTTGGGCTGAGGAGACCGAGCTAGAGGGGTCTGAGACTTGGCCCTGGCTGCCAGCTGCTTAGGGGGAGGGCTAGGATTTGCACCAGGAGCTGACAAAGGCAGACAGTGATCGGGCTGCAAGAGCAACAGCGGCTGTGGCTAAGACCCTGGCTCAGGCCTCCATTCACTAAGAGGAACAAAGAAGCCGCCATTTAAGCCTGTGCTCTGTGGGCAAAGATGGGTCTAATTCTGTGTATGTGAGCATTTTTGTGTGTGTGTTTTTTTTTTAATTAAAAAAAGACAAAAGGGTAAAGACAGTGATAACAATTCAGAGATTTAAAAGATACTGAATTTATACCAACATCTCTGTTTCTTAAAGTGTTGGTGATTAACAAACCTCTATATTGTTCATACTAAATGATGAGTCACACTTTGTTATACAGCACAAACTAACACAACATTGTAAAGCAATTATACTCCAATAAAGATGTTAAAAAAATAAAATAAAAATAAAGATTTAAAAAAAAATCTAAAAACGAATGAATACATGTATATGTATAACTGAATCACTTTGCTGTATACCTGAAACTAACACAACATTGTAAATCAACTGTACTCCAATTTAAAAAACGAATTTTTTTTGTGTGTGTGTTACGCGGGCCTCTCACTGCTGTGGCCTCTCCCGTTGCGGAGCACAGGCTCCGGACGCGCAGGCTCAGCGGCCATGGCCCACGGGCCCAGCCGCTCCGCGGCACGTGGGATCCTCCCGGACCGGGGCACGAACCCGCGTCCCCTGCATCGGCAGGCGGACTCTCAACCACTGCGCCACCAGGGAAGCCCATTTTAAAAAATACGATTAAAGGGGCTTCCCTGGTGGTGCAGTGGTTGGGCGTCCGCCTGCCGATGCAGGGGACGCGGGTTCGTGGCCCGGTCCGGGAGGATCCCACGTGCCGCGGAGCGGCTGGGCCCGTGGGCCATGGCCGCTGAGCCTGCGCGTCCGGAGCCTACGCTCCGCAACGGGAGAGGCCACAGCAGTGGGAGGCCCGTGTACCGCCAAAAAAAACAAAAAACAAAAAAACCCCCCCAAAAAACAATTAAAAAAGCAAAAAAAAAATTAAAAAAATCCTTCATTCAAGGGTAATTCATTCAAATATCATTCCCATCTATTATTACTTACAATAAATATTTACCTTTTTGCTTACTAATCATGTATTAAAATTTGTAATACATTTATGCTTTTACAAGTGGTAAAAAAAATAAAAATAAATGACGAGTCACTATACTTTATGAATAAAAAATGATCATCACCTGATACAAGGCTATGATCACACCCTTGAAACACACTTGTTAAGAAAATCTATACCCCACATATGCTTTCTAAATATATTTTCAGAGTTTAGTAATAAAGGACTCTGTCGGGGTAATTACATTCCATTTCTTTTTTAAAAGATAACTGGAGAGAAAGGATGATTAAAGCAAGAACATGCATTAGAATATAAACAGACTAGCATGTCTGTATCGGAAGGTAGACTACTTGATTTTCCAGCAGTGAATACAAGGTCATGTTATCCTCCACCCTCACAGCCCGTCCTCCAGCCTCGTGTCTGTCCCGGAAGCACAGACTCCCCAGCTAAGTTGAATGGATCTGTCTCTTTGTTCCTGTTCTAGCGTGAACTGCGGAGCCGGCTGGGGCCCAGCCCTCACCTCCTCCTCCCGGAGCTTCTGCTTCCTCTTCTCCTCCACGGCGGCCCTCTTCTGTGCCTCTCGCTGCCGCTGCTCTTCCAGCTTCCGCCACCTCTCCTCAATTTGCTTTTCATACTGGAGCTTGGCTCTCTTCTGTTTCTCCAGGATCTGCTGCTCCCGGGCAGCTGGGGGAAGGAAGGCAGAAGAGAGGTGTCATTACCAGAGCACCCCACACCATTTGGATTACTACCAAAAACGCAGAAGTAAGAGTGACCCCCCAAAAAAAGAGCCCGGTGGGATCGTAGGCTGAAGTGACTGAGATGAAGCGTTCTGGCACCTCTGCCACCAGCTGGGTGACCCTGGACATATTAACCACGTCATCTCTCTGCCTCAGTTTCCTCCTCTGTGAAGTGGAGATGTTGCATGTGCAACATCACAGTGTTGTGGAGACCAAATGAGACAATGCACGGAAAGTGGCCAGTCACTGCCCCTGCACGTGGGAGCTCTGCCTGTCATTGCCATCAAGTCAGACTCGTCCCAATGGCTAGGCCACACGCAGGATTGAGAAATGAGAGCTATCAGGGTATCTTCACTCGGGACACGTTAGCTGTACATGCACCACGCACCAGACGCTGAGCTGGGTGAGGGTAAACAGAATACGATGAACAGGATCGGCCGGCCTCCCTCCTGACACATTTACTAAGGGCCTTAACTCCACCTGGCCAGGCAGGCAAGGGTTCCCTGGAGGACGCAATGTCTGAGCCGACCAGCAGGAGGCACTCAAGGAGTAGGATTCGAAAGCTCCTCATCTGTCTCAGGGCCCTGGGGAAGCCACCCCACCTTCCTCATGGCACCCTGTGGGGAACAGGTTGGACGAATCTGTCCATAGCCTGCAAGAGGTATGACAGCCTTTCTCAATGGGTTCCCTGTCTTAACACAGAAATGGCCTTCGGTGCCGATTTCCTCCACTTCCCCCAGCATGGCCCTTCTAGCTGCCCTGGGGAGAGGCCGCCTGAGCGGGCGGGGGCGGTGACTGTCTCTCGTTCTCCAGCATCCTACCCACAGCGCTAGCGCAGTGCCAGTAACAGAGGTTCAACGCATGCTCAGGGAGTAAATCAACTGTCCTGAGAATTATGTAACAACTGTGAACGGGCCAGTGGCAGTGCGGGTTTGCTCCCAGTTTTCCACGTTCACCTAGCAACTGTCCCAGTTCTCTTCCCATTCAGTCACAAATTTCTAAGGGTCCTGAGAAAAGACATCATCACATCTCCACTCCCTTAGACCTAAACAGCCAAAGTGCACAACTTACCAAGACATTTTTCTCTTTCTTCTCGTCTTTCTTTAGCTAGTCGTTGTCTCTCATCAGATTTTAAAAATCCATCCATGCCTACAAGAGAGAAAACACGATGACAGACTTCACTCTCCCCGTCCGCTGAGTGCCAGGGAACCCCCTTGGCCTGCACCCTGGGTCTGGCCGCACGCACGCATCATCCAACAGCAGGGCTCCGTACCACACACACGGCCCGATCCTGAGAGCCGAGGGGCAGTAGCCGCGGCTGCCACGCTCCCCCACCCAGCTGGGCTGGTAGTGACCCAATGCCAGCCCCAGAGAACCAACCCCTCTCCCTAGTCCTCCGCCCCCAGGCCTGGCCTCACAGGGGTCAGAAGGCGCAATAAGTGACAGGTCTGGCAACGTGCAGAAAAGCCCACTGGGCCTCCCCACGTCCGGCTCCCAGGGGAAGGCAGAAGCACGAAAGTAGACACGATTATTACACAGACAGTGAACATCTGACTTTCTGGAAGGAGCCAACTGCTGAGGGACACGTATGAGCTCCTCGGGTGAACACTGAGAAAATACAACATTCAAGTTTGATTTCGTTTCCGCTAAGTTTGCTCCCATGTCAATCTTAGCATTTTAGAATCACAAAGAAGGAATATAACGTACTTCTGTTTACGGTAAGTCCCCTACATACGAACGAGTTCCGTTCCGAGAGCACGTTCGTTAAGTCCAATTTGTTCCTAAGTCCAACAAAGTTAGCCTAGGTACCCAACTAACACAATCGGCTACATAGTACCATACTGTAACAGGTTTATAATACTTTTCACACAAATAATACATAAAAAACAAACACAAGAAATAAAGAAAACATTTTTAATCTTACAGTACCTTGCAAAGTACAGTAGTACAGTACAACAGCTAGCATACAGGGGCTGGCATGGAGTGAAGACGCAGGAAGAGTTACTGACTAGAGGAGGGAGAGGAGGTGGGAGGTGGTAGAGCTGAAGGATCATCAGTAAGAGGAGACGGAGGGCCAGCTGCAATTTCACTCATGCCTGACGTTGATGGAACGCATGTTCGCAACTTTGAAAGTTCGCAACTTTGAAGGTTCGTATGTAGGGGACTTACTGTACTTGTTACTTAAATATCCACAACAAATAAAATGGAACAAATGGCAATCGCCCCCGAGTCCGGGAAACATCTCAGGAGCTCCGCATCTCCACCCACCTTCTACAGGACCCTACCCTAAAGTGCTTTCTGAATCAAAGATTAAATGACCTTCATGGCAGTTTTAGGATTAAAAATGATTTATTGCACTTGGTCACAACTGGTCATTCATGAGTATTACTTATATAATGGTCAAGGACCGCATTCTGGAGAAATCGGCTTTAGTGTTACTACAACTGGATTCACCTTCCCAGCGCCTGGGCCCTCCTCCGTGGTAGTGTCACAGCTGACTTCAGAGTGTGCCTCGCTGCCACAGTGAGCTGTGCCCCTGTTAGGAATGTTCCTGCCACTGCCCAGGAGAGGGACCTACAGGCTT